ACAGGCCCGTGGCCCGCTGCTTCGTGTAAGCCGCCACCTCCTGTCCTCATCCCGTACCTCCACTCTATTTTATTTCATTTTTTTTTTTAAGTTTCTTGTTAACGTTTCTTACTTCGAGAGCGAGAGAGAGAGAGTGTCTGAGCAGGGCAGTGGCAGAGAGAGAGAGGGAGACATAGAATCCGAAGCAGGCTCCAGGGTCCGAGCTGTCAGCACAGAGCCAGAAGCGGGTCTCCAACCCACAGACCTTGAGATCACGACCTGAGGGACACTCAACCGACTGAGCCACCCGGGCACCCCTCCATTCTATTTTATACTGTATTTATTTGGAAAAAATGTTTTTATCCACACACGGCGAAACACTTGAAATTAGTTTTTAACGCGCATTCGGACGTAGTTTCCCGTGTGTGTGCCCGTGAGCCGCTCTGCTATCCCTGGGCATCGAGCAGTTGGCAAAAATAGCCACAAGCCTGCAGTTCCGTCCTGACGGTTCTAGATGTGGCAGAGATCTCCCGGGGGAATGAGGGCTCTGCCTCTCGAGGATATTGTCCCTACTGCGGTTTCCCAAGAGTCGTTCCGTCCGCCTGCCGCCAGGCTGGTTGGTTTTGTGTGCAAGTCTGAAGAGGTGTGAGCTGCCGCCCGAGTCCCAGGAACTCAAGTTTGGTAACCATGTTTTTCAACAGAACCGTGATTAAGAAGGAAGAGAAGTTGGAGAAAAAGGAGGAAAAAAAGCCTGAAGACATTAAGAAGGAAGAAAAGGAAGAGGATGAGCCGAAACCAGGACCTGCAAATCGGTCGAGAGTCACCAAATCAGGTGAGCAGAGCTTTCCACGTGCCCACAAGAAGGGAGGAGCTCAGTTGGGGGGGGGTGGGGGGACCCCGGGTTCTGTTGACAGGCGGCTCTGAACACATCGCAGCCCCAGGGTGACGTGGCCAGGAGGAGTGTCTGGTGACATCACACACGTGGGGACGCTCCCCCTGGTGACTTCTGCTCACTGGCAGCCCCGCGACTAGGCCTCTCGCTCTTCTGCGTAACATTTGGCAGGAGTGCAGACGGATATGCGCGGGAGACGTGTCCTGGTTCTTGAAACTGATTGGATGCAGTTATGCAGGCGTGTGGTCAGGCTTCTCCTGCGTGTGTGTTAAAGGCAGATAGAGTCAAAACTGGAGATACGGTGCAAACTCAGAACCTCTGTACCCGTTGACGTAGCTGCACTTGGGGCGTGCCACCTCTTGACATTTTGTAAAGTTCATCGTGTTCCACGCCTTCAGATTTGCATGAGGCTCCGCGGAATGTCGTCTGGAAAAAATAAAACCAATTCTCCCTGTGCCTCCCTCCTCTCCTCCCCAATAAAACAAACAAAATTCAGCCATCTGGAGCATTGGAACTGGGTACAGCGCATTACAGAGCGTTACAAATTAGATCTTTGGCGTTTGGTGTAATTTACCGGCAGTCTCACGAGGAACGTGTTTTTAAAATGTTCCTCAAGTATGGCAAACCTCCCCAAATCAGGAATAGTCCTGGTGGTTAGAGTCTGGTTATTGTGTCATCGAGGGGAAGATTCTATTTGGAGGTCTTTATTGCTGTGGATGAACGAAGGGAAGCCCAACCGTCCGATTGCGATGAGGGCCTGAATTCTGCAGAGCGTTTCAGGATGTGGAGGAGAAAAAAAATCAAAATTGGTTCTCCTGGAGCTGCTAGGATTTAGCGCGAGGGTAAAGGAGGCTTGTGGGTTGGATGTGTGTGCGTGGCAGAACGCACCTTGGCTTAGATTTATGTTGCAAGATGTGAGGAAATCCCGGCCGCTTCATTCCAGGTGAGCAGAGACCTGGAGTGCCTCGTGTCGGTAGTGGGTGCTTCGTGTCAGAACGGGAAGGAGGAGGAGACACAGAGGCTCCAGAGGTTAGCGTTAGTCACTCGAGGGAGCCTGGCGGGCCCCCGGTCAGCCCATGTGCTGCCTGCTCTTTGGAAGTGGGGGCCTCAGCAGGTTTTCATGGATGGCTGGTTTTTTGTTTCTTTCCCTGAAGGAAGCAGAGGAATGGAACGGACAGTCGTGATGGATAAATCGAAAGGAGAGCCTGTCATTAGCGTGAAAACCACAAGCAGGTCAAAAGAGAGAGTAAGTATTGCTTCAGCCATCTCAGGTCCAACTGATCTGAGGGTGGTTTAATGACCACTTTGATCTGCACTACGAACACAGCTTTGTTTCGCCTTTAAAATTTTAAGAGTTCTTTGATGTATTCAGAAGGCATATTATTAGCCGTTGGATGGTATGTACAGACACAAATATCCTACAACTTATTTCAAGACAGCACCGAATGTTTTCACTTCACACGATGTGTTGACCCCGATTCTCTGTCAGGTTACGCCATCTTCTGGAAGAATCGATTCGCAGAAAGCTGACCATTGGGTAGAATGGGCAGGACCCAGGCTGTTCAAGGCAGAAGGCAGGTTCTGCTCTTTGGTTAACCTAGTGGTAGCTGATTCATCGCTTTGGGCGATGCTTCATCTTCTGTGACGTTAACAAGAAAGAAAAATGGAGTCCGCTGGAAAATCGACTCACGTTGTCAGAGAGCGGACCTCCCATTTCTTAAGTGGTACACGTAGCTGGACCAGCTAGTGGTTCCTCGTTTTGTTTTTTCCACTCCGGAAAACAAACCCCTCTGCTCACCACCTGAAGGTTCTAGCTCAACCATTCATGAGAGCCGGCCCCTTCCAGTGAATGCCGAGCTAGCAGTATTCATCCAAGAACCGTTTGTGGTGCTGAGACTTATTTTTGAAATGAATGTTTGATTTTTAATCCATCCCTTCCTGACGTCATTTTCCTTTTGGGGTACGTGAAAACCGTAAAGACACTAAAATAAAAAAATCTCTCAAGGAAGCCTAGATAAACCATAATCTCACCACCTAAGTAACTCTGACGTTAAAAAAATAAATAGTAACATGCGCACGATGAGAACATTCAGATCTTCAGATCGTATAGGAGGATGACAACAGAAGCAGGACAGAAGCCTCTTCGCTTTCACACGGACTCCTCGCACTTCCTTTCTTTTCTCTTCGAGAGAGAGAGTGCGAGTGGGGAAGGGGCAGAGAGAGAATCGCAAGCAGGCTCCACGCTCGGCACAGAGCCCGACTGGGGGCTCAGTCTCATAACCTGAGGCAAAACGAAGAGTCGGAGGCTCACCCAGCTGAGCACCCAGCGTGTACGCTGGATTTCGAAATAATAGTAGTTTCACAGGAAGTTGCAGAAATAGTACAGAGGTCCTGGGTGCCCTTCCCCCAGCTTTCCCCAGTGACTTGTTTTGTGTCACTGTAGCACAGTAGCGAAGCCAGGACGGTGACATTGGTATCTGGCGTGTATGTGCCTACGTAGTGCTAGGACTTTTCTGTTACTGGTGTGGACCGCTGTGAGCACCGCCATCAAGATACAGGACTAGCCCGTCACCACAGAGATCCCCTGCCTGTCACACCCACGCCACCAGCCCACCTCCAGCCCTGGGAACACCGGTTGTCTGTTTCCCATCTCTGGAATGTTGTTGTTCTGAGAACATGTACAGATGGAGTCGTGCAGCACGTGACCACAGCATGGTGACCTTGAGAGCCATCCGGGGTGCACGGGTGTTGTCCTTTCTCTTTAGGAAGCCGTGATCGTTTTAACCAGGTTCTTGGTTACGGATGCTTGGTTGTCTCTCGTCCCCTGCTGAGAACTGCTGTGGTGGGACATTTGTGTGCACACCCCTTGGCATACTGTGGGTTTCTAGGTGCAGAGGGACACGGATGTCATTCTTTGGGATGGGTGTTAGCAGAGTGCCCTTCCGGAAGGCAGCAGGATGCTACAGTCCGTGGCTGCGTCCGTCCGGTGCCCTGGCCGCTAGTAAGTGGGAGGTGGTGAGCCCAGGGCTCTGACCCCGAGACCCCGGTGCTGCACTGGCCTCGGCACGAGGTTGCACCCTCACCTGGACACTTAGGGTGTCTGTCCCCCTGCCTTCTACCTACAGTGTGTATGATCAGACTCCAGTCACTTTGCCCGTCTCCTCAACAAAGGGGGGTCAGCGTGGTGTTTTGGGTTATGGATCTTTCTGTGATGAGATGGTGCTCTCTTTTTTTTGTTTTTTTTTGGTAAAATTTCTGTTCAAAACTTCTGCCTGTCTTTCTCCCACCACCCACAAGGTAATTAAGAAAGTAAGCTAAGGAAATTTTTTTTAAATGTCTCCCAGGCCCATTCTCTAGAGACTCTGAAGCTGTGGGTCAGCAGGTAGCCCTGCGTTCTGAGCTATAAAAGCTTCCTGGGAGAGTGATTGTGGGCAGCTTGGGTGTCGTGGCCCCTGAAGGCCTCAGGCAGGAATAGGAGTCAGTAGTTAAGGTTTCCTGCCCTGTCCTGGAAATGAGAGTGGCACGGAAGTTGCCCGTTAATGCTCTGGAGCTGATGAGGAGCGCTCTTTTACGTTCAGCATCTTTGACCTGTTCTGTTCGAAGGCTGCCTGCCTGAGGCCCGAGTCAGCGGCTGAGAAGTGTGGTCCGTCATGCAGCTGTGCATCCAGCATGCACGCGCCCCGTGGCTCTGTGAGGCCTTGTTCTAGACTACACGTAGTCCTGGGCTCTGCCGCACTAAAGAACCCTGCCTGTAGGTTTTGTGGGGTGTCATCCCCCCTTCCCCTTCCATGACGCCCTTTGTTGGCAGGGCCTTCCCGGAAACCACGTGGGACAGAAGAATTTTTGTCTACCCTGGATACGCAAATGTAACTTTCACTGTGCGTCTGTTGGCATTTTTCTGGTGTTAACCGGCCAATTTTGGTAAACAGAGCTCCAAGAGTCAGGATCGCAAATCGGAAAGCAAGGAGAAGAGAGACATCTTGTCGTTTGATAAAATCAAAGAGCAAAGGGAGCGTGAACGCCAGAGGCAGCGGGAACGGGAGATCCGAGAGACGGAGAGGCGGCGGTGAGTGGGTCCTGGCAGGCTGGCCAGTTGGTGGGCTCCCCTGGGGGTGCTCGGCCTTTCTCCCTGAGCGGGTCTCCTGCCCGCCCAGGCTTGATGACTGCCTCGTGTGTCCCCGGAGACAGAAGGGCCAGGGTGGCGAGGGCCGGCGGTCAGCCTCGGCACGGCGATCGTCAGAGCTGGAGTCTGTCTGGCAGCACCTCTCCTGGCCCCTGGTGGGCCCCGGCACGTGGAGTGAGCTCATCCACGCGTGGCTTTGGTGGGAGGGTCTCCAGTGTTGAGGTCTCGGTCTTCACTGCCAAACCGCACGTAGATAAGATCCAAAGTGCAGCCAAGGGATGTGGTGCTTTTGTGAGAGGTGTTACTCAGAGGAGTAGCGTTCTCAGGCGGCCTCGGTCCCACGAGATGTTCTTTGCCACGCACACCTTTTTTCGTTGAGACAGTTTATGGAAGTAGGCCTGCCGTTCCCAGTTTCGCCTTCTGCCGTTTTCCGTCCATAGCTCCCTTGTCATCTTCCTTCACGTGCTGCTCGGCAGAACGAAAGCCTCACGCCTCACACCGTGGTATTAGGAGGACTTGTCTGAGTGAAAGTGGGTCGTGTAGAAAGTGCTCCGGTTGTGCTATATTTGCTTTCCCGAGTAGTGTGGTTCTGGTCTCTCTGCATATGTAGCTTTAGAAAGTAGAAGCACCATTCGGATGTCTTTTGTTTCCGACTGGCTCCCAAGGGCTTTGGAGCCTTTCCAGTCGCTGAGGGCGGGCACGAGGAGTGACAGCGACTCCTTTCTGGGATGCAGAGGGGGTGTACCCTGTCCCTGTATCCCCCTGTTCCTGCCCCCCCCCCCCCCCCAACTCCCAGGATGCAGGGGCCGGTGAGGAGACCTGGTGCCGGGCCGCATAGCATCGGCCCCCTTTGCTCATGCCTAGCCTTCTCCTGGCCCCACAGTCCCCCAGGTCTGCTCAGAGGCTGTTTCGGGGCATCGCTCAGTTATTTGTTCCTCCAGGGTTTTCTGCGTGCACGGCGGCTTTCGTAGTAGCAGTTCTCCTCCTCTTTTCTTACTCTTCTCCCTTTATTTAAAAAAAATTTTTTTTTTTAATGTTTGTTTATTTTTGAGACAGAGCATGAGTGGGGGAGGGGCATAGACAGAGACACAGAATGTGAAACAGGCTCCCGGCTCTGAGCTGTCATCACAGAGCCCGACGCAGGGCTCGAACCCACGAACTGTGAGATCATGACCTGAGCCGAAGTCGGACGCTTAACCCACTGAGCCACCCGGGCGCCCCACTCTTCTCCCTTTAATGTGTGGCTTAGTCCTCCTGGCCTGGACGCCGGCCTGGGTCTCTTCGCCCCCTCCCTGCCTGCGCACCCTTGGCTTTGCTTTTGTGAGAAGGGAGAGTCCGGAGGTTGGGGTTCGTGGCCCAGCCCGGCGCGCGGTCACGGGTGTGTGCGCGGGGACGTCAGGGCGCGGTCACGGGTGTGTGCGCGGGGACGTCAGGGCGGCCTTGCGTGTGTGTCCCCGCAGAGAGCGGGAGCAGCGTGAGCGGGAGCAGCGCCTGGAGGCCTTCCACGAGCGGAAGGAGAAGGCGCGCCTGCAGCGGGAGCGCCTGCAGCTCGAGTGCCAGCGGCAGCGCCTGGAGCGCGAGCGCATGGAGCGGGAGCGGCTCGAGCGCGAGCGCATGCGCGTGGAGCGCGAGCGCCGCAAGGAGCAGGAGCGCATCCACCGGGAGCGCGAGGAGCTGCGGCGCCAGCAGGAGCAGCTGCGCTACGAGCAGGAGCGGCGGCCGGTGCTGCGGAGGCCCTACGACGACGGCCGGTGAGGACCCGGCCTCGGCTGCCCCCTTGCCCTGGAAAGTCGGGGCCCCTCTCCCACCGGATCCGGTGCCTCTGGACGCCGTCGCGGGGCTCTGCGGTGTTTGCCTGAGTTACTCGCAAAGTCTTGACGGTGGCCGCTTGCTGAAGGGGTCGCCGTGCTGTGGCTTAACAAGGCCTCCCGTTGCATCCACACTGTGGTTCCCGGTGGGGCGGTGGGTAGGCCCGCGCTCGGCCGCGGCCGCCGGTCGGCCAGGGATGGGGAGAGGCACCGGGCTGCACTCGGAAGAAGAAATTGCCTTCCCGTTCACAAAGTAGGTTTATTGGTCTCCAGCTCCTCTGAGCTTCTTAATTGACGGTCACCCATCACCCCACCACCCGTGAGCCTAGTTTTCTGGTAAAAAATCAGGAGGAAGATAATTGGATGCCATCCTGAGCCGTATGCAGTTCACTATCACCCGATCTAATTCCCTTTGCTTTTGCAAAAAAAACTCAGAGGGAGGTTCAGGTTACCATAGAAGACAGGAAGGTGAAAATGTGGCAACTCAGAACGCCATTCCAGAAGAATCAAATATTTCATTTCACTTGCATCTGAGCTCACGCGGGGATCAAGGTATTAACAGCCTTGTGATACAATTAGCTCCCAGCAGCCCTCCTTTCAGGACTGTCAGATGAGAATGCTGGCATGCCTCTTGGCAGTTTGGGGGATTTTAATTTATCAAATCAAAGCGATAATGATTGAATGTTTAGAGATTAGCCCTGCAGGACATTTTAAATGATACCGGGTCTGGAGAGAGCTCCTCTCCCCACCTCCACCCCCTTCCCTATTTCCCTCATTCTCGCTCATAAATGCAATTCATATCCTTTTAAAAACAAAAAATAGGCGAGATGATGCTTATTGGCCGGAAGGAAAGCGTGTGGCCATGGAGGACAGGTACCGCCCAGACTTCCCTCGGCCCGATCACCGCTTCCACGACTTTGACCATCGAGACCGGGCCCAGTACCAGGACCACGTGGCTGACAGGTCAGCACCCACCGTCTCCCAAAGCCACGGACACAGCCAACTGAGCCCGATGCAGGGATGGGTCTCTGTTCATTCTCTGATGTCTCATTTATTTGTGAGGCTCCTGCTGGCTGGCTGACCGGCTGCACGTGGGATTTAGAAGCACAGGCCTTGAGCAGGATGTTGGACTCGGGGCTCACTTAGGGTGTCCTCAGCTTGTATGGTGGGAAGGCCCTCCAGTCCTTTCACTCGCTGCCCCCTTCACGGATCGGGGGCTTGGGGCGATTCCTATGTCTCAGCGCCCCACGGCCCACTGTCTGGGCCTCACGGCTCCCCGGGGCTCTCGCCCAGCCTCTGCTCCTCCGCCTTGTCCCTCCTTGTTTTTATGGTGAGGATGCCGTTTACAGAAGTTTTCAGAAAGGCACCTGAGTCTGTGCAGGCAGGGCAGGCTGGCGTCCACATCCATGGGGTTCCCTGACTGACATGGGCTCCTGGGTTGGCATACTGTGTAAGAACTGACCGGACAACGTGGGGGAGTGTTTACTAGGCTGGCTGTGTCTGACAAGATTTTTTTTTTTTTTTTTTAGCTGGTTGCTTTGTCAGTGTCTTCTTAAATGAGAAATACATATATAGTTTATTAGAAAGGCAGCCCTCGATTTTCTAGTTTAAGAATTCTCTCTCTGGGGTTCTCATCATGGTCCCCTGGGCCGCATATCCCTGAACCATTTCTCCGTTCATTAGCTCTTCCGTAAGGGAAGGGAGAGCAGGGGGGAGATGGGCTGAAAAGCCACTCATTTAATGAATCATGCCTGGAGTTGGTTTGAGAATCCTGTGAATCATGTGTACTGACTGGGTCAAACCAGAGGTTAGGGATCCTCTAAAGGCTTCTTGTCAGACCCTAGATTTTGTCACCAGTCCAGATATATTAGTCTTTGGCTTCGTGGTGTGGGCCTCTGTTTCTGAGATCCCTCCAAGGGACTGTAGTTCAGTAAAATTTTTATTCCCACCTTCTTAGGATCCAGCTTCACTCCTACTCCCTGGAAGAAGGCTTTAGATGTAAGCCAGCTCTTTTTCACAGGGCAGCATATTACAGTTCTTACTTGGTGAAATAGAATAAGTACCCCAATTGTGGAAAACTCTTGTGTGTGGCCTGCCGAAATGTTGTCTAGTGCCATCAGCAGCTGTTGGAATGAGATGTTTCCCTTTTGCAGGAGAGAAGGTTCAAGGTCAGTGATGGGAGAGCGAGATGGGCAAGTAAGTAAAACCCGACCCCAAGCCTGGGGGCACCCTGCTTTTGTGTTGGGGTGGGCAAGGGTGAGTGAAGTGTGCGTAATTGTTTTCTGATTACGGAGTTCTACGTGTGTTTCCAGTACGTAGGGTTTGTTTTTGTTCGGTTGGCTCTAGTAGATTGCAAGCATCTCTGGGTTGTCCACTTGCTTAGAGTGTCTTTGAGTCTCAGTATTGTGAGCTGCCCCACAATATCCCAAATGGGGGAGGCCTTTTGCCTGTGTTGGGGCGGGGGAGGGTTCCTGTGTCTCTGGTAATCTGCAGGTGCCCTGTGAGGGATGCTCAGAGAAAAGGAGCTCCCCAAGAGAGAGGTAGGGGATGGGCATCAGAATCATGCCTTTTTAAAATGCTTTTTAAAATGCGATTATGTCTCGCCACAAAGACGTGCTGGGTTTTTGAGCACAGGATCGGTTGGCGGGGGGCACGGAGTGGCTCCCGTCCTCAGCACCTGCCTCCAGTGTCACATAGACAGGCCTCTGCTGCCTCCATAGAATGGTGCGCACAGGGGTTTGAGGGCACTGCCTGTCCCGGGGTGTGGGAGGGGCCCTCCTGGCATCAGCAAGAAGGAAGTGTCCTGATTCTTCTGGGGAGGACTAAGTGACCCTCTCAGAGGACCCTTCAGCAGAGCCATCAAGTGCCATCAAGTGCAGGGCTCTCCGAGCTCACAGGGCCAGAGAGGCCTCCGCTGGCACTTTATGTGGTGCCAGAGATGGAGCTCTAGGGGTGCCCAAGAGTTCTCGAGCAAGGAGGGGATCAGGAAGCAGAGGGCCCACCAGGAGCTTCTGTGGTGAGGTGTGAGGTTTGGAAGGGGCCCGGACAGGTCCCCTTGGGGCCACACCCCGGCCGGCTGCAGCAGGATCTGCAGGTTCACAGGCCCGTCCAAGAATGGCATGGTCAGGGTGCCCTGTCCCTCTTGTGCCTTCCAGCACTACTCAGATGAACGCCACGGCCACGGAGGACCACCAGAGCGCCATAGCCGAGACTCCCGAGACAGCTGGGGGGGCTACGGCTCCGACAAGAGGATGAGTGAGGGCCGGGGGCCGCCGCCCCCACCCAGGTAGGCAGTGGGCAGCTCTGGGGGTCCCTGCCTGCTGAGGGACACCGCCCTGGATCCTTTCGTAGACTTGCCCCAGGACATCCCCGCCCCTGTGCCCCAGGGGCCTGTAGGTGTTTTTAAGGCAGGTCTTTGCATGTCAGAAGGTTCTGCCTCGTCTCGAGGTGGGTTTTCAGGGGTTGAGCGAAGGGTGCACCACTCCGGTAGAGGAGCGATGAAAAGTCATCTTCCCCAGGTGACCCGTTGAGCTCTCGGTCCTTGAATGCCATTTTGTCCGTTTTGCCTTAAATATCCGTGGGAAATGTAACCGGGGAGCTCCTCTGCAGACAAGAGGGGACACTGAGCACCGTCACCGTAGGGCTGGGTGGCTATCACCCATCGCGGGGCAGTCTCGCCTTCACCCTCGAGGACAGATGTTGGGGGCTCTGATGGGCTCCTCGCCCGCGGCTCTGCGCACTGGCCGGCCTGGCAGCTGGTACTCTGACCATTCCAGACTCAGCCTGAGTCTGGGAAGCTTTCCTGGACACGCCTGGTGGCCGCACATTGGACTTATGTTTGGTTTGAATCACTTGGACTTTCTGTCTGAAACTTTTTTTTTTTCTTAAACAGCTCTTTTGAGCTTTATTCACGTGCCATATGGTTCATCCATTTGAAGTGTGCGATTTGATGTTTTTTAACGTTATTCAAGAGTTGTACGCTCATCACCACAGTCCACCCCCAAGGGAAGCTCCCTTAGCAGTCACTCCCCGGTCCCTCCCCACCCCGCAGCCCCTGCACCCCCGATCCACCATCTGTCTCTGGGCTGTCCTGTTGTGGGCGTTTCACACAAGTGAAATCACGTGTCACGGCCTTTTGTGTCCCGCTTCTTTCAGCACAGTGTTTTCAAGGTCCGGTCACACGGTCACCTGGGTCAGAGCCGTATTCCTTCTTGGGGTTCAGTAACAGGCCACATGTGGAGAGACCACGTTTTGCTTCTCCCGCTCATGAGCTGCTGGCCATTGGGGTGGTTTCACCTTGGGGCTGTCAGAGGATCCTGCTGCTAAGCATATTCGTGCGCGGGTCTTCCCGTGAATGTGTTTCCCGTTCTCCTGGGGTAGATGACCAGGGGTGGACTCGCTGGGTCCTGGGGTCAGCCTGCTGCACTGTTGTCCGTTCTCACCAGCCACGTGTGAGGATCGCTGTCTCCACGTCCTCCGAAGCGCCCAGCGTCTGTCCCTTTGCCACCGGCCAACCCAGCGGGTCGCGTGGAGGTCTCCCATCCCGTGCGCGTGGCTGCGCCGAGCTGCTCCGGGTGCTTACTGGCCACGTGGGTCTCCGTGGGGGCGTGTCCGTCCTCACGCTTCGCCGTTGTCTCTCAGAAACGCGTGACATCGGGCAGGATCGGCCATGCTACGGCCTCCCCTTGCAGGCACGTGGGACAGTCTCCGGTCGGCTTTTTGTTTTGACACAGGGCTGGACGTGACTGGGCGGAGCATCAGGAGCGCGTGTGGCCGGGTTCGGTGGACGCAGGCACGGCGGGACGGGAGCACGCGCGGTGGCAAGGTACAGGCTGACCTGTGCCCAGGAGTAGAAGGAGGGTTCCCAGGACGCTCCCTGGGGACTGGTCCCTCCAGCGGTTGCAGAGGCTTCCAGGCACTTCTAAGAAGGGAGTGTGTGCAAAGTCTTTCTTTTCTTCCAGGTGGTGAGAGGGGCCTCTCTGGGCCCTCGGGGCCAGGACACATGGCAAATCGGGGCGGGATGTCGGGGTAAGAAGTTTTGCGCTCAGATAAAATTGATTTGTTCCCACTCCTCATTTCCTCTCCCTTCTTTGCACGTTTGGTCAGTTTGCCGGGTTGAATGTTTTGAAAACAAACCCAAAAAGCAGCTCTTGGCAGCTTATGCAAGTCGCACCGGACACTTACCCGGAGCTCGGTCTGTGATTCTGATTTCCCTCACCTGGAAGAGCCAACGGGCCGTAAAGGCTGCACAGCCATGCGCTGCGCCACAGAATGGTGAGAGCGGCAAGCACTTCAAGGGGACAAACGTGTGCCTTTGTTCCTAGGCGAGGCGGCTTTGCACAAGGCGGGCATTCCCAGGGTCACATGGTGCCCGGTGGCGGACTGGAAGGTGGACTGGCCGGCCAGGACCGGGGCAGCAGAGTTCCGCACCCCCACCCCCACCCCCACCCGTATCCCCACTTCACCCGCCGCTACTAAACCCCACTCCGAGTTTCCAGGTAGGCAGATGCACTGTTGAATCTCAGCCAGAGTTACCTTGAACTTGTGGAATCTTTTAAGAAACAAAAAGCAAATCCTGCCACCATGTTGTAGCTCAATACAATGTGAATTCACTTTTTTTTTTTTTTTAAAATAAACGTGATCTCTGCCATTTTTAAGACAAGATTTCTGTTAATAAGGCATTCCATTTTCCATTAATAAAAGTTTACGGTTCGCACCGGTGTGTGTCGCAGTGATTGCGGGACAGAACACTTCCGACCTCAGCGGCACCGATGTGTGTGTAGACGCTCCCGTACCCAGTTCTCCTGGCCTCCCCGGGGAGTGGGACGTCCATCTCCCCTCCTTACAGATGAGGAAACGGGTGTGGGCCACCTGCCCAAGGTCCTAGAGCTTGTAGGAGGCGGCAGGGCTGGGATCAGAATCAGGATTTCTTTTTATTTTGTAAATGTTCATTTATTTTTGAGACCGAGGGAGACAGGGCACGAGTGGGGGGAAGGAGCATAGAGAGGGAGGCACAGAATGGGAAGCAGGCTCCGATATGTTGGCACAGAGCCCGACGTGGGGCTCGAACTCACTGTGCAATCGGGACCTGCCTGAGCCGAAGTCGGACATTTAACTTGAGGCACCCAGGTGCCCCAGAATTAGGATTTCTTAATGGCGGCGGGGGGGGGTGCATCGTGGGGCCTACAGACCAGTCGCTTCACCCCTCGAGCTGGTGTGCCTGGGGTGGGGGGCGTCCAGTGATGGTGTGCGGGGTTGGGGTCTGGCTGAGGGCAGTCCCTGCACTTAATATGTAATTTCCTCATTTGTCACTGTAAACAATTCTAATTTTCTTCGTTAAAGCCTGCCAGACAAGGCCTCTGGCCAGCCGTAAGTGCCGTACATGAGTCCTCTGATCCAGGCCCCTCCTGTGTGACTCCACAGGAAGAGTTTCTACCAGAGAACAGCTGAGCCCATGCCAGCCAAGAGCATAGGTGACCCCGGGCACGCTGGGGCATCCAAGGGACCTGTGCCGGGGGGCGGGGAGGGGGTCTGGGGGTAAGCCGGAGGGCCTGCTTCCCACAAATCCTGGCCGTGATCCGGCGTGGTGAGAGTTAACCTCAGTGCCGCCTGCTGGGAACCTGGATTCCCTTCGTAACTAGGACAGCCACCCCACAGGCTACTGAACAATCACCAGTTCTCCCGGAGTAGCCTGTGTTCCCGCTGGGGTGTTTAGTTTTAAAAGAGCGATCTGAAAATCTGCCCAGCTTGCCGCGGAATCTAGACCGTTAAAGGCAGGTCAGCGCTGGCCTTTGGCGTCCTGCTCGTCTGAATTGCGGCAAGTAAATACCTCGTGGCTCCCCCCACCACGGGGGCCCTCGGAGTCGTTTTCCAATGACAGGTGGGCACGATGCTGTCTCCGCATCACCTCCTGCGTGGGGCCCCGTCTCTTCTCTGCAAGTCAGACTCTAGAAACGGGTCTGAGCTTCCTATGTTGGGTGATCAAAGCCATACCCAGCCTGGGGGTGTGGGTGAGACCCGTTTTGAAATCTTGTCACCTGGCTGCAGTTGGGCGACTGTCCTTCAGGGGGAAAGGGTGACCGAGGGTGTGACCCGTGGCCCTCAGCCGGGGCACCGCTGCCGAGCTGCCCCAGGGGAGCCTCGGAGAGCCGCGGGGGCAAGAACAGCCCCTTCCTAGTCAGCCGAGCCTGCAGCCTGGGTCTGGCTTACGTGGATGCAGCGTTTGCTAGGCCTGTGGGAACACAGTGCCGCAAATGGGGTGCTTTGAGACCAGTCTATTCTCTCACGGTTCTGGAGGCCGGAAGTCCCCGTGTCGTCTGGGCCGGTTCCTTACGAGGCTGAGAGAGAGTCCATTCCGTACGCTCGCCCAGCTTTTGGGGGGTCGCTGACCATCTTCGGCGTCCCTTGGCTTTGTCGACACGTCACCCTGAACTCCGCCTCCGCCATCGGCCTCCCTGTGCGCGTGTCCTTGGCCAAATTGCCCCTTGCTGTGCGCACGATGGTCACGTGGGTTGGGGCCCACCCGAATGCCCTCATTTTAACTCCCATCACTCACATAAGGGCTTTGTCCCCAAATACAGTAGCGTTCTGAGGCCCTGGAGGCCAGCGTTTCAGCACAGCAACGGGGTTGGCAGAGTTTACCCCCCTTAAGTGCTCCTCACGGTTTTCATACATACAGATCTTCCCAGGATGCAACTTCCTTTTTTTTTAGTTTATTTGCTTCAAGCGAGCACAAGCCGGGGAGGGGCAGAGAGAGAATCCCAAGCAGGCTCCGCACTGGCAACACAGAGCCCAACTTGGGGCTTGATCTCACGAACCCTGAGATCATGACCTGAGCTGAAATCAAGAGTCGAGCACTTAAACCTACCGAGCCACCCAGGCGTCCCCTCTGGGACGTGACTTCTGGGCAAGTGGAGCATTGCTCAACACTTGAGTCCAGGACCTTCCCAAGAGTTCCCCATTTCTGTGACCAGAGCTGCTGGGGCTGCTGGAGTCTAAATGCCTGCCTCCCAGCCGCCTCCATCCAGGATCGGAGCTGTGTGCGTGCGTGCAACTTGAGCACCGGGTCACGTTTGCACTATAACTGGGACCTGCCCCTGAGCAGTGATAGTCTCTTCTTTCTTCTGTTTGTGTCTGAAATGCATCGTATTTTTTTCTTTTTTTTTTAATTTTTTTTTTTTTTAACATTTATTTATTTTTGAGACAGAGAGAGACAGAGCATGAACGGGGGAGGGTCAGAGAGAGGGAGACACAGAATCTGAAACAGGCTCCAGGCTCCGAGCTGTCAGCACAGAGCCCGACGCGGGGCTCGAACTCACGGACCGCGAGATCTTGACCTGAGCCGAAGTCGGCCGCCCAACCGACTGAGCCACCCAGGCGCCCCAAGCATCGTATTTTTTTCTAATTGTAGTTGGGTTCTATTAGGTCTGATTTTTATGTCAGGAGACAAGGGAGGTGGAACCAGGCGTGTGTTCTAGAAGGGGCCTGCTAGTGGGCACGGGGACTGTTTGCACTTTCGGCTCCTGTGAACATTGCTTACGGTGAAGGCCGGAGCACGTGTATTTGCTGACGCACGTTTCCCGTTCTGGGTAGGTGCCTAGGCATGGGATTGCTGGCTCCTATGGTAATTCTGTGTTTAACTTTGGAGGAAACACCTGTTTTCCACGATGTGGAAAAGTTGCGCCTTTTCCACGTCACCAACACGGTTTTCTGGGGTTTATGACAGTCGTGTGCAGTGGTAAGGATAAACTGTGTCCATCCACGCACTGAACTGCCACCACGTGGACGGCCCTGGAGGTCACTGTGCACAGGGACAGG